TCTCAGTTCTTTACTGCGTGGCTATACATGTAGTGATTTGGAGGAAGTCGACCTCTGCGGTTGTAGAATTGCCAATGAGTCATTTCACAGCTTATCAGCAGGCTTACAAAGGTTTAGCAGTGTAAGTGTACTAGATCTAGAGTGGAATGCTATTCATGATGGTCAGGCATTGTCCTCCGTGATTTCAGCCATGTCTGCTAGTCTTGTGGATGTGTATGTCAGTGGTAACCCTGTTGATGTGAGTGGTTTTGTGTCGGTGTGCCGTGCACTTAGTCAGTGTAAGAATGTACACAAAGTCGATGTCATGTACATGTATAGTGATGGTGCTGCACCGTTGTCTGTACTCTGTGATATGTTGGAGCAATGTACACAGCTGGAATGGTTAGTGTTGAATGGGAATGTGTTTGTGGGTAGTGAGGATGATGAATTGAGATTCATTGAAGCAGTGAAGGTGTGTACACAGTTACGTGTACCGGGGGTGGATGGCTGTGGCTTGAGTGAGAATGTACGTTCTCAACTTGTCACTGTGTTCACAGAGAGGGGGTGTCGGCGTGGCTTGTTGGGTGTGTGAGAATGTAGACTGGTTGTGTGAGTGTAATGTGACTGTGACAATGTATGTTGTGTTGTAATTTGATCACACAGTCATGTAAACTCAGTAAATTTGTTGTAAATTCTTGAGACAATGTAACGTTTTGTATTGTTTTGTTCCCCTGTATACCCCCTACCCCTAAACCCTGACCATCGATAGGTTTTTTTTGCCTGCTTTTCTTCTTGTACATATTATGTTTTTGCTTGCTGCTTGCCTGCTTACTACTCTAATGTTGAGGACTGTTGTGAATAGATTTCTGATGTTTTCATGCCTATAATCATATCTGCTGCTACTGCTATGCTATGTTGTTTTTTCATCATTGATTTATGAACTGCTAGTAATTTCTATGTGTGTTGACAATTGTTGTGTTCACTACTAACACCTCAAAAGTTTCAGGATCGCACAGACGCCACAAGACAAAAGGTCACGTAATTCTTTACGGACTATAATGAATGAACAGTAGAATACATTGAGAAGAAGAGACTGGAAAAATACGAACTACATCGGAAAGAGAACTCTAGAACACTAAAGAAAACAAACCACAGCATCAAGGAAAAGAACAACGCATGAGGGGTAAAGCGCTGGCCAGCCACAACGTGCGTCCAACTTTGGCATGAGCGTACAGAAGAGCGTACAGCGCTCGGAAAGCGGAAGCTAAATTTGGCAAAGCGACAGCAATAGTACGGCGCGAGGCACATGAGCAGTACGAGGCGCGGCACCTATACGCGTGTGCGGCAAACATTACACACCATGTACCATATATGCATGAACAGCGCGGGGCGCATGCTAACTCATTCAACATCAGTGCGCGGCGCAGGCATCTAGCTAGCTGGCGCAAGCATGATCATAATTGCATGCCATCACGCAATCAGCGCACATAAATCGCGCATCAAATAAATAAGTAATCAAACACAAATCAACACATCAACTAAATAAATCAACGAGCTAGCAAGAACACAATTCAAAAATGCAACGAAGAAATAATTACTATTCTAGTCGGTTATTCGCATGGGACCAAGCGCAATGTCCAAGCTGATGAACTGTGATTGCACAAGGTAAGCCCAAGCTCCTGAGCTAACCGTTCTGGTGAGCAGTCTTCTTCGTGCTGCAAACACACACTACACAATGTGTCGTATCTCGTAACAAGTACTGTACCAAATCACAACGAACACTAACAATACGCAATAGTAAACAATAATCAAAAACACTACGCACAAAAGCAAAGCAAGCAGCACCTAGCCAGGGAGACAAGCAGGAGTCACGGTCGCAACGAGATCTCGACGACACCCCAGAAGACCTTTCTCCGACACGATACACAACATTCTCCCCACCAAAGGGCTTCAACCACACTGATCACAAATCAAGACGAGGTGGTGGTCGAACGGTACGACGAGATCGACGCGTAACTTGCGGTTCAACGGTCGTCGAAGGTATTTCAACATCATCGACGACGTTGACTGGATCAGCGCTCGCGGGTGTCTGCGGCTGCGGCTCAGCGTCCACAGCAGGCGGCTCAACATGCTCCTTCGCTACTTCCAACGGAACCAAGCGTTGAATGGGCCGTAGCATGGACGATTGGCCAACTTGGACTTTGGCCACCCTGCACCTGCCATCTCTTCCAGGATACAGCTCTGCGACCCTACCCAAGCGCCATGATTGCCGCTTCCGGTTGTCGTCGGCAATAAACACAACGTCGTTCACGACAATCGGAGTTGACTTCGACCGATGATACTCACTGAGACGAATGAGATACTCAGACGACCAACGCTGGTTGAGGTGCTCGTAGACGGTGTGGACATACTTGACTCGAGCGGACAACTGCCGTGGATCGAGTGGTCTGTCAGACGAGGCAATACCGGTTGCAAAGATGTCTCCCAACATCATGGCTGGAGTCAGCGGCGACTCGTCAGCTACATCCGTAGAAACCGGAGTGAGGGGTCGAGAGTTGACGACTCTCTCGATCTCCGTCAAGACAGTGAACAGCTCGTCTCGACTCAATGACGCTCGACCGAGAACCTTCTTCAAGGGAGCTTTCACACATGCCACCAGACGCTCATAGAACCCTCCATGCCACGGGGCAGATGGCGGATTGAAGAACCACGGGATTGCCACCTTGTCTGCGGCGGACTTGAACGTCGTAGCATTATCTGAACGTATACGCAGCGGCTTCCCACGACGGGCGATGAAACGACGCAATGCTAGCAGGAACACCTCTGTCGACAGGCTATCCCCGAGCTCTAGGTGCACTGCGCGAGTAGTACCGCACACGAAGAGTGCGACCCACACTTTCTGAACATTTGATGAACTGCGCACGTACAACGGACCTGCATAATCAATACCTGTGAGGCCGAATGGCTGGTGGTGCTTCACCCTGTCTGAGGGTAACGGCGGCATCTCCTCAGCAGCAGTCTGTGCGCGAAATCTGCGGCAAACAATGCACTTCTCCGACACGCTACGAAGAAACCGACGAGCTCCGAGAATCCAGAACTGCTGTTGTAGAAACGCAAGCACGCTCTCTACACCCTGGTGCATTCGCTGAAGGTGAGCATCACGCAGAAACAACTCACTTAGATGACATCTGCCCAAGATGATCGGATGCTGAACCTCGTAGGACAGATCGCTCTCCTGCAGACGACCACGAACTCTGAGCAAACCAGCTTCATCCAGAAACGGAGACAACTTGAACAGCTTCGAACCCTTCTTCAGTGGCTCCTTGCTCCGCAACTGGGACAACTCCTTGGGGAAGCATTGCTCTTGGATGGCGCGAAACATCACAGACTCAGCAGATGGAATCAATTCTGCACGCGAAACACCCTTGTGTCGCCATGACAGCATACTTGCGACCAAACCGCGAGCTCGTTGCCACTTGGAGAACTTCTCCCACGGCCAAACAACTGGAGTGTCAACCTCCACAGCCGACACGCGTGCTTCGGTGACGGACTCATTGGTGCTCTGAAACGAGATGACTGGTGGCCACTGAGACTCATCGCTCAACCATGACGGACCATGCAGCCACATCTCCTTCTGCAAGTCACACACTGAGACACCACGCGAGACAAGATCTGCAGGGTTGCTAACTCCTGGACAGTGACGCCATTCTACTTGCAGCTTCTGCAAAACTTCTTGCACTGCAGCAACTCGATTAGCAACATACGTCTTCCAGTGATATGACGGCTTTGAGATCCAGTGCCATGTGGTTAGGCTGTCTGTCCACCCCACAATCCTTTCAATTGGCACTCTCAATTCACTGACGACAAAGGACAACATCTTCACGCCAAGACACACAGCCGACAATTCCAGACGCGCAAGAGTGGGACGTACAACAGGTGCAACCTTCGCCTTCGCACACAACAAAGAAGACGTCAAACCGGACACAACATAGAAACAACAGCCATAGCCCTTCTCGGATGCATCTGAGAATACATGCAACGTGACTGGAGCATCTGGAGTACACCCGATCCATCTGGGGATTTTAACGGAAGAAAGCGCTGCGAGCTCTCCCCACCATGAAGCACATCGGACAGCCAAATCAATAGGGAATGGGTCATCCCAACCACCGCCGAGCTTCCAACTCTCTTGCAACATCATCTTGCCTGGCACAACTGCGGGTGACGCCCAACCTAGCGGATCGAACACAGCGGCAACACAACGCAACAACGCACGACGAGACCAACCAGACACTTCCTTGGGACACTCAACATCACCGAGCGCAGCCACCGAAATACAATCTGACTCGGTGTTCCACACAATACCCAGTGCCTTGGAACCAGCCTCGGGGTCTGAGGTCATCGTGTTCCCTCGCCACTTCCGCAACTCCATGCCTGCTCCCTGCAAAACATTAACGCTATACTCCTGCAGCTTTTCAGCATCCGCACAGCATGGCAAGCTAGAAACGCAATCATCAACATAAAAACTACGCAGCAGCAGCTCTATGATATCACGCTCAGCAGCAGAAGCAGACTCGAATGCACTATCGAGATGAAAGCGCAGCACAGCACTAAGTATGAAAGGAGAACAATTCACTCCAAAAGGCAGCTTCTTTAAACGCCAGATACACATTTCTTCGCTACCTATCTCAGGCCAAACAAAACGCAGATATGGCCTATCTTCTTCACGCATTCCGATCATAAAAAAAGCCTTGCGAATATCGGCTTGTACAGCACATTCATACTCACGGAACCTGAGGAGGATACCAGTGAGATCCGGTAGGAGTGATGGCCCGGGATCGACCATGTCGTTTAGGGATGGTGCTCCGGTGCAGGCGGCGGATGCATTGAAGACGACCCGTGTCTTTGTCGTTGAGGCGTCGCTACGGAATACGGCATGATGCGGCATGTAATAGCCGGCTTCCTCCGGATGCGGTTCCTTTTCAATGGCATCCAGCTTCAAGTACTCAGTGATGAGGACGTCATCATACGCTGGACGTTGACCTCGTCTCTGTAGCTGCTTCAGCAGTGATTGTGCCGCTGCCATCGCTTGGTTTCATGAGGTTGGCTGGCGGACGCTTCTCAGATCGCCATAGCAATCCCACTTGGTAATGAGGGCCTTGCCGTTCTATCGGGAAGTCCGGTAACGTCTCAGCTATTTCCGGCACCTCTTCCATCTTCCACAGTCGGTCAAGTTCAATACAACTCACACTGACGGTCGCTGACTTGGTTTCACTATTAGCCGGTCCTGACAGCACCCAGCCTATTTCAGTGTGCCAGGCCGTCTCTCCATTGATTTGCTCCTTGCGGAGAAGGAACTCATTGCAGTAGTCAGCTCCAATCAGCATGTGCACTTCGCTTGATCCGGCCTTTGTCGAGTCATCAGACAGCTGCAATCCCTGTGACTGCCAACGTGCAATTGTGCTGTCTGCTAGCGGATCGAATCGGAGACCTAGCGACTTCTTTTGCCAGGCATTGACGGAAATGGACTTCGTTGCACCCTTGATGGTGACACGGTACCTGTCCATCTTTTCAAACTTCGGCTCCACGTCAAACGCCTTCAGCCTGACAGTTTGCGATCCAAGGTGTGCCGGTTGCAGCGAGTTCACCAGTGGCGCGGTGATGAACGATGCCTGCGCACCTGGGTCGATGAATATGCGTACACTGGCCTTTCGGCTAGGTCCTTGTACCTCAGCCACGCCGGTCATCAAGTGCACGCTGTTTGCACTACATTCATTTGTACCGACTTTCGATTCGGCTATCGGTTCGGATGTTACCTGTTTGTCCTCTCTGTGCAGTAGACTGTGGTGTCGCTTGTTGCAGTGCTTGCAACGACCCTTGTTCTGACAATTCATCACTCGATGTCCTGGTCTCAGGCAGTTGAAACACAGTCCCTCTGCCTTGACGTACGCGTTTCGGTGCTCAGACGCCATAGCTGACAATTTCTTGTTAGCCTCATCAACGCTGACCGTCAAACACTCTGCCGACGCAAACGGTATACGTTTGTCGCTGGTGCTAGACTTGGCAGGCTTCAGCTTGCTACGTCCGTGGGCTGTTTGGTAAGCCATACTATCCTCCGCAAACGCCTTCAAGTCCTTCGTGTAACATCTCTTCTCGATCAAGAAGGCCTTAGTTTCTGCCGACACAGCTTCTAGCAGGACTTGACGTACGACACATCCGAACAATTCAGTGTCGTCCAGCTCACCGATTTGTCCGCGGCTAGAGGTACGGCTAGGCCTGGCGAGTTTTTCCCACTTCTCCGTCTCGCGCGTCACTCGTACCACAAACTGGTAGAAACTCTCCTCACTTTTCTGCTGTATGGCCATCAGGGCTTGCCACGCTTTGTCGGCGGTCTTCCCATGCGCCATCAGCAGCTCGCGCTTCGCTTCGGCAAAGGTGTTGCAGCCATAGCATGCACCTTCCAACTTGCTGCCAGCAACAGCCACGCGCAAGCGGATCAGGTACTCGTCGTCGCTGAACTCGTTTTGCTTTGCCACATCCTCGAACAGTTCGAGATAGGTCTCAACAGTCTGCTTACCGTCGAACTTCGGCATCTTGATGGCAGCCCTCTTGCTCGCTAAACTGCCATTCGTCGTATTCAACAAAGTGCTCTCATCACTCTGAGTCTCTCGTGTGTGCTGGACTTGCAACTCCAAATCTGCAATCCTCGCAAGCAGCTGCTCGTCATCTTTCCTTTCCAATCTACTTCCTGCTCGTTCGTCGCGCTCTCTGTCTGCACGCACTTTCTCCTCGTGCTTCTCGATACGCTCCTCTACGTAAGTACGCAATGCCTCTCCAGTGTAGCCATAAGCTTGACCATTTGCGATCAGCTTCGCTTCTAACTCATCCATGTTCACGCGTCTCTATCCTGGCGTGGTCGCCAAAATGTTGTGTTCACTACTAACACCTCAAAAGTTTCAGGATCGCACAGACGCCACAAGACAAAAGGTCACGTAATTCTTTACGGACTATAATGAATGAACAGTAGAATACATTGAGAAGAAGAGACTGGAAATATACGAACTACATCGGAAAGAGAACTCTAGAACACTAAAGAAAACAAACCACAGCATCAAGGAAAAGAACAACGCATGAGGGGCAAAGCGCTGGCCAGCCACAACGTGCGTCCAACTTTGGCATGAGCGTACAGAAGAGCGTACAGCGCTCGGAAAGCGGAAGCTAAATTTGGCAAAGCGACAGCAATAGTACGGCGCGAGGCACATGAGCAGTACGAGGCGCGGCACCTATACGCGTGTGCGGCAAACATTACACACCATGTACCATATATGCATGAACAGCGCGGGGCGCATGCTAACTCATTCAACATCAGTGCGCGGCGCAGGCATCTAGCTAGCTGGCGCAAGCATGATCATAATTGCATGCCATCACGCAATCAGCGCACATAAATCGCGCATCAAATAAATAAGTAATCAAACACAAATCAACACATCAACTAAATAAATCAACGAGCTAGCAAGAACACAATTCAAAAATGCAACGAAGAAATAATTACTATTCTAGTCGGTTATTCGCATGGGACCAAGCGCAATGTCCAAGCTGATGAACTGTGATTGCACAAGGTAAGCCCAAGCTCCTGAGCTAACCGTTCTGGTGAGCAGTCTTCTTCGTGCTGCAAACACACACTACACAATGTGTCGTATCTCGTAACAAGTACTGTACCAAATCACAACGAACACTAACAATACGCAATAGTAAACAATAATCAAAAACACTACGCACAAAAGCAAAGCAAGCAGCACCTAGCCAGGGAGACAAGCAGGAGTCACGGTCGCAACGAGATCTCGACGACACCCCAGAAGACCTTTCTCCGACACGATACACAACAACAATGTTCTATATGTAATTTTGTTTATTTTTTGTCATAGCTTGTGTAATCATGGAGAATTGGATTTAAAACAGGTTGCTATGACGGTTGTGTGTGTGTGTGTGTGTGTGTGTGTGTATGTGTGTGTGTGCGTGTGTGTGTGTGTGTGTGAGCGCGCGTGTGTTGCAAGGCCCACTGTGGGGCATGTGGTCGGTGCTGCCGCTCTACTCGTGGCTTCCAAATCCATAGCTGCCAGAGATGGTTCTCTCGTGGTGCCAATTTAACATGGTCCACAACCTCTCGGCGGACTTCCGATTTTCTGCCGTAGCTCGTCGTTTCCATGCTGTCGGCCCCGCAAGGGGACACGTGACCGTAATGGCAGTGTTTACCTGGACCAGGGCCAGATGTGTATGTGTGTCTGCACAAGTGTGTGTATGTGTGTCTGCACAAGTGTGTGTATGTGTGTCTGCACAAGTGTGTGTACGTGCGCCAGCACCCTCACTTTGTGTGCTTGCGTGTGTGTGCGCCTGCGTGTGTGCATGTGTGCGATCATGTGCGCGTCTGCATGCGCGATTGTGTTTGCGCTTGTGTGTGTTTATGAGCACATTTGCGCCAACACCGTTAGCATTTGTGTGTGTGGGTGGTCAATCGCCTACACTTTCTTCGTGTGGTTGTTTTTGATCGTGGACATTGTGTGCCTGTGGGGTTGTGTGTGTGTGTTCGTGTGTGGGTGTATGTGTGCGTGTGTGTGTGTGTGTGACCAACGGCCAGAGAACGGGACGAGTTCTGGCATATGTGTATCTGCTCTCGCCGGTTCCGACTTGTCTCGCATCTGGAGCGCCATCGGGTGGCGTGCTATTTCTCTCTCTCTCTCTCTGCTGCCCCTCCGGGGCCCACATGACCCTAGTGGTAGTGGCTCTACAGGACAGGACTGGTGTGTGTGTGTGTGTTTGTGTGTGAGTGTGTGTGTGTGTGTGTGTAGAAAAAGAAAAAAAAAGAAAAAAAGGAAAAAGGAAAAATTGGGATTCACTGGCCAGAAAAAGCCACTTCAATCAGCTGTGTGGTGGACACCAGGCTAAAAATAGTGGCGGTCAATTCATCAGCCTTGCAAGCTGTTGAATGGTGTAATTCCAGCACAAGTTGCTATGTCTAACATAGCTGTTCGCTATCATCGCTTCCGCGATGGGCAGGTCTGATGTCTGAGGTGTGTGTGTGTATGTCTGTGTCTGTGTCTGTGTGCGTACGTGCAAGCAACCACACCCTGTGTTTATGGCTGGGTTTATGCATGTTTGTGCAATCAACTATACTTCTGGGTGTATGAGAGTCTGGGCAAGTAACCACACTCTGTGTTTTAGTGTGTGTGTGAGTGTGTGTGTGTGCGCGCGTGCGCGTGAGTGTGTGTGTGTGAGTGTGTGTGTGTGTGTTCGTGTGTGTGTTTGTGTGTGTGTGTGTGTGTGTGTGTGTGTGTGTGTGTTCGTGTGTATGTGTTCGTATGTGTGTGTGTGTGTGTGTGTGTGTGTGTGAGTGTGTGTGGTTTCGTGTGGTTTCGTGTATGTGTGTGTGTGTGTGTGCCAGCTAGTTCGGTTGGTGGGTACACTTATGCTAGATAGTGTTGGGCCTGTTGCCAACGGGCTTGGCTGCTTGAAGGTGTATTGTTGTACCTACCACCTTTGTTGGTTTCAGGGTTCATATACTTTCTATTTGAAGTATACATACCTGTTAACCATGCACTGCTTCTGGCTAGATTAACTCTTGTGTAATCAATGGTGCTAGTGAAGCTTTTATCAGATCCACTCTGATTTAGCCACACACACTAGTACCAAGTATTACCTTCACTGGGGGCAGGGGGTACCTGCAGTTGGATCCCGGGACGGATACCCTGATGCCGTCAATCCTTTTTCTGCACCTTGTCCTCACCCACTTACTGAGGTGTGGTGAGCCCATAAGTGGGATCATTTCAAATCCACCCTAGTTTGGGGATTTCAGGGGGTGCCGGCCGTTGGGTGGTTCAATGGCCAATTGAGTCATCTTTTCAAGATTCCTTTTGAGTCTCTCTCCCCTCTCCCGGGGAGACCCACGTGACCAGTTTTGGCAGTGAGCACGTGAGCAAGTGTGTGTGTGTGTGTGTGTGTGTGTGTGTGTGTGTGTGTGTGTGTGAGTGCTCGGTCTGGAGCGGGGGCAGCATTGTGCTGTCTTCACGAGGTGGCGTCGGGATTCGGCTTGACCATCAGTGCAACGAAGACTCAGCTTGTAGTTGTTGGCCCCGGCATCACGCCTGACCGCGCTCCCCTCCAACTTGGTCAAGCGGAGGTGGAATGCGTACCGCATTTCAAATACCTCGGTTCTGTAGTGGACAGCGGTTGCCGTTCGTCCCGGGACATCGCCGCAAGGATTGCTCAAGGCTCCAGGGCCTGCGGTGCTCTTCGAAGGTCTGTATTCTCCAATCCACATCTGCTGATGCACACCAAGCGGTGCGTATTCAATGCTTGCGTTCTGTCCCTGCTGTTGTATGGCTCTGAGTGCTGGACGCCCCTTCAGCATGACCTGCAGAAGCTCTCAACCTTCAGCATGAGGTGCATCCGATCCATCCTTGGGGTCTCTCGAAGCCGGATGTGGGACGAACACATCACCAACGAAGAGCTGCTGGTGCGCTGGGGAGACTCCGAGACGATTAAAGACAAAATTGCACATCGGCGGTTGGAGTGGTTGGGGCATGTGGCGCGGATGCCGGACAACCGCATCCCAAAACAGGTACTGTTTGGCTCCTTCTTGCAGCGTCGCCCAGCACATGGCCCACGCCGCAGATGGAAGGACTGTGCTGTCCGGGATCTACTTGCCCGTTGCGTGGAGGCATCATGGTATGATGTTGCATGTGAGTCTCGCGCGGAGTGGCGCAGCACCTACCAAGAGCCTGACAATGTGCCTGAGCCTCCGCCCCGAGTGGTATGTACGGTATGCGGACGGGATTTTGCACGGAAAGGAGACATGGCTCGGCATAAGTGTCTGGAGGAGCGTGCGCGGCCTGTGTCTGAGCAGCGGGGCACCAGTCAGTGCGGGCGGTGTGGGCGGTGGCTGAGAAGCCGCGGTGGCTTGGTCCGGCATGTGTGTGCCTCAACGGTGGATGCCGCAGTGCCACCTGGAACTACCGGAACGTCGGAACCGGCGGAGGGATGTTGTGCCGCGCATTGTGACGGGTGTGGTCGCTGCTTTCGCGGTGTCCGGGGACGGGGAAGGCATCGCTGTTCAAGGGTGGCGCATAGACCAACAGCAGAGGAGCGCTCAGCCTTCCGGCACGTGTGCATATGCGGCAATCGGATGCGACTACCCGTGCACCTGGAGCGTCATCGAGCATCGTGTCCTCTCTCTCTCTTCTCAAGTTCACCATTATTGGCATTAATCCAACGCCTCCCTAGGCTAGGCCCTTGCTCCTCATCTCTGCAGCTTCTAACAATAGGTCTGGCACAACGAAAAACTAAACTACTTGATACTTGGAGCTCTTAGTTCAAGCTACATTTTCAGAGTCAGGAAGTTTCAAATGGCAAGAAACCCAGCTTCTCTTCACCATTGGCAACACGAGCAATGACCATTATCAGCCAGCAATGTTACTAGAGAAAATGCCAAAGGCGCTGGCGTGAACAGAAAGCTTTTCATGCAGCAACGTTTCTTTCTCAGCAAAAACAAAATAAAAAGGAAAGGAACAAAAAAGGAGCAACACCAGGGTCCATACCCGGTACCCAGGTGTGTAGTCCCTGGAAAGGCTCTCTCACAGATTCCAGTACAAAGGCCACGGACAAGTGTCCCACTGAGATGCGGTCGCTTGCCCGGACCGCTGGGACGCGGACACCTCCGAAGAGCAGCCTGTGACGTTTATTTTTTATGAAAGAAAATCCGCAAAAATAGATAAGCTTGTCCCTTTAGTCCTACCCGTTTCCCAGTGATGGGATCACGTGACCCTTTTGCGGTAGTGATTCTACAGGACAGGTGTGTGAGTGTGTGTGTGTGTGTGTGTGTGCGTGTGTGGTCGTG